TGTTGCGGCCACAACTTGGGCCACCAACCACTGAGCAAGCTCAGCGGATGAGGCGGAAGGGCAACCCCCGACACCATGGTCTTAAGTCTAGCTGCACTAACAGGGTGACTACCCTTATATGACTACTTCAATTAATATGCTCGACCCGACCAAGGAAATAGGAAAAGTAAGACAAGCACAACGTAAAGAGGGAGAGAACAGAGTGAAACGACAAGTTATAAAGGAAGATAAAATTTAAGAAGTTAAAAAATAGAAAAGTAATGAATGAGGGTACAAAAGTAGAGAAGAAATGAGGAAAGAGATAAGTAATAAAATAAGGAATGAAGGATAAAGAAATAAATATAGAAAAAGATAAAGGTTGAAAATGGATATGAGGGGTGTTTCCAGGATACCAGTATAGGAGACTGGCTCGAGGAAGAATGAGCGAACGAGAAGACAGAAGGGAAGATAGAAATAAAGAAATTAAAAAGTAGAAAAGTAAGGAATAGGGGTATATAAGTAGAGAAAAAATGAGGAAAGAGATAAATCAGAAAGTAAAGAATGAAATATAAAGAAATAAGGAAGTAAAGAAGAAATAACTATAGAAATAGAAGAAGTTTGGAAATGAATATGAGGGGTATTTCCAAGAGACCAGTATAGGAGACCGGCTCGAGGAAGAATGAGCGCTCCGAGTCCGGGCCCTGCCCCGAGCGCCCCCCACCATCCGCCTGCTCCCACTCGTGACACAGCATGTGCGTGCAACGGAGAAAGCACTATGGTGCGAGCGAAAGGCCAATCCTTGCGAGAACTACGCCTAGCATCATATTGCCGACTCGTTCACATTAATGCTCCGCGAAAAGGACGCAGCGAGTGACGCTTTGGTGTTTCACTCACACCATAGTATCCTCTCTGTTGCTCGCACGGCCTGAGGTACTTAAATAACCCTATACATTCTTCTCTCTTACCTTTACCACACGGCGTCAATAAGCTGAACACCATTAATGATGCTTGACTGCATTAAAGATTACATTTTCTTTTAAAATTGGTATATATTTTTGTTTCTTTAAAAAAAGTGGACCTATACATTAAATTTATATGCCTTTAAACATTTTCGACTACGCAATATATTTTTCTGATTAGCGACATCACAATATATTTAGATTTTGTATCTGTAACAATATAAACTACAGTGCTTGGAGCTTCTTTAATATATCCCGTTGAGCAACAAAAACTTATATCCCCCAAAAAAACACTTACGTATCAAAAAAACTATGTCAAGTACAAGAGTGCTGTGGATTCCTCTAACAAAAAGTATTAAAATCATATTATCAATGCCAAGTACGTAAGTCACTACGTATCTGCTTGTCACACTATCTAGCACTAGCCCATCATTTTAATTGTATTTTCAAAATTTCCTATAACGTCTTCGCTATTCTTTTATATTACTAATGCTTCTCATACTTAATTATGATTTAGTGGCCATTCAATAATTAACAAAACTTTAGGTGATTCCTTATCGAGTACTACTTCGAGGGTCCGTGCATTACTTGGTATAAATTTGCGTTCATTATGCCAGACTTCAAATTCAATTAGCTTCAATCGATTAACACTCATATTAGCGATAACTCGTCAAAAATAACCACGGTAAAAGGATAATACTCGATAGTACTCGATAAGGAATCCCTTAAAATTTTATTAATTAATGAAGGCCCATTAAATCATAATTAAACACGAGAAGCAGTAGTAATATATAACAAAAGAGTAGCAAAGACGTTATAGAAAATTTTGGATATACAATTAAAATGATGAGCTAATGCTAGATCATATAAGCAGATACGTAGTGACTTATGTACTTGTCATTAATAATATAATTTCAATACTTTCTTGCTAAAGAAATTCACAGCACCCCTGTACTTTGCAACATTTTTTACACGTGTTTTTTGGGTGTTCATATATACAAAATACAAATATACAAGCTCATTATGACTTTAGACAAGAATAATTATAATAGGATACATAGATGCATCGTAAGTACGCCCGGAACTTCAATAATAAGGATATGTAGGAAAAATATAAATATATGTAATCATCGAATTCCTTTCATTAAAAAATGTTTATTATTCGTAGATGAGGTGGCGCGTGGTAAATACGTGAGGTTTTCGACTACATCAAATCCAACAGTTTCACGCGTTAATATTTACAGACATGAATCGTATTCTATCGTTAATAACTAATCGTCATTCAATATAGTTCGGTGTTACGACTAAAATCATTACCCTTACATTACAAGCTACAATAAATGTTGCGCCATAAATGCGCTAAAACGTTCGGATTAGATGATACGATTGTAAAGCATGACAAGTATGCCATTCAAACCGTATACAACGGTTGCAGAATCATTGACCATCGTCCGTAGTCATAACATTGTTCATTTTATTCTATAACTTGAAATCAGAGAGAGATAGAGAGAGAGAGAGAGAGAGAGAGAAAGAGAGAGATAGACAGACAGACCAAGAGAGAGAGAGAGAGAGAGATAGCGAGAGGGAAACATTATCCACATCTCGAAAAAATTTTGCAAAAATCTAATCAAGATAATACAAAAAAAAACACTTAGGCTGTATCTCATGCGACACCGTATTAATAGGCGTACCAAAAAGTACAGCATCATAATATCTTAGGATAAATTGAAATAAAGTATTAAAAAATGGCTGCGCTCGCCAAAGTCTTTGTTCCGCGAGTTTCTCGTACCTCGAAAGACGATGTAAAAAATATTTTTAAAAAATCCCTATGCACTATTACGCTCATATGACGAGATACTACACAGATAAGAGATTGGTTTGAAATAAATACATATATCATTACACTTGTGAACGTCAAGGTGTGAAATATTAGAAGTTTTTTCTAGCATGTAAGGAACACAACTACGAGTTTCTCTCAGAGTGTATATATATATATATATATATATATATATATATATATTTATTTGTCGTGCGTGGGTGTGCAATTAGTACCTAAGAGAACTATCGTACATTATGAATAAGTAGCGATCGTTTGACCAGTCGTTAGAATTTTTATCGCTATTCCCGTCTAGATAGTAATTTTATCGTACGACCTGTCGAGCCAGATACAATTGAGCAAATGACAATTATTGGACGTATGTCGCCTTGCGCGCAACGACAACACGACCAATAAATACGACTTAATCCGGTCACGGTTCTTCCGCAGTAGGATCGTCTTAAAATGACACAGAGAGGCGGATCAAGAAATAGGTGATTTCGAAATATATTGTATAAAGATCCGCAACGTGGCGTTGCGTCCGCTTAAATAATGCTATAAATGATAAGTGAATAAAAACGACACATGGGTCGGATGTAAAGCATAAGATGGATCTCAAAGAAAAGGTCAAGTGTACTATCTATGTATACTGATTGTCACAAAGGCTCAAATGCATTGAACTTATCGATAGACATCGAACTCCGTATGTTTTAGGTGCTTTACGATACAGTTAGGTTAATTAAATAGACCAGTAAGCGTACCCGACCCCTGGCCAGCAGTATCGCGACGATAAGCGAGACAAAATGGCACCCTGAGTTGAAGAAGCACGGTCTATGGAAACGACACTACGTGAAAATCTCGTCGTAGACGTTAGAACGATTTTTGAATGATGTGCATTATAGAATTTGTAACGGTTCCCTCTTGAAACGTATACCTTTCAAAATTTGATATTCTTTATCATAAGAGGTGATTCCAGGAATGTGGCCAGTGTTACGAATGAAATGCTCTCGTAGGATCTTTCTTGGCTGGCGATAATCCTGGTGCTGTATTCACCTTGTACGCATTACCCTTAACCTCAGCTGGATGCCTGTGCGTACTTGTCGACGACTTTCTAGGTGGTTTTGATATTTGTGTCGTGGACAAACCGCTCACTGGGTATTTATTCCTACTTGACGTGCCACCGTTACTCCTCGAGACACTCTTTGAAGACGATTGCACTGTTGTCTCGCTAGGATGCTTTGGAAGGACGAATGCCTTCGTCTGCTTCAGTAGATATCTGTCGTTACAGAGAGCCGAGATCAATGGTAGATCTAAGTTTCTACTTTTTTCACGCAAAGTACGAATATCTAGCATGCCGTCATCTTTGCCATCTTGTCTATCGATGGCGCTAGGCGTCACGACGTCGCATCTATTTATCGGCTTCGTTGTCTTCTTCGAAGACGACGCGGACAAAGAGGCTGACGGTAGTGGTTGACTCTTCTCTAGAGTCTGTAAAGAAAAAATATCATGTTATATTCGAAAAATAATTTAACCTTAAATTGTAATAAAAAATTGTAAATGTGTTACCTGAATTTCATAAGGGGGTGGTGGCGGTGGTGGTGGAAGCCTTCGATGCTTGGGCTGAGGAAGAGACTGCATTTTACTGCTTACCGAAGATTCAAAACTCTTCAAAATATTCTCGTCGCTTCTAGTTCTGGAGAATGTATGAAGTGTGTGTGGATGCGTTGGTACCGGTGGTTCACGACGGAGACTATGACTTCCAGCAGACGAACAGGTGACGCCACTGTACAAGGAGCTGGTACTAGCTGCATAATGACTGCTCATGTTTCCATGTAACAAGTAATTTCCACTGGAACTGATGTCGCTGGTGCTCAAATTCTGATTCGATGCATACTTTGAAGGCGATGAGAATGATGATCCAGGTAAATATGGAGTGCTGCGATACATCATTGAGGATTTGCTATTGACAGATGGATATGGTGGAGGTGGATAAGCAGCCATTGCAGCAAGGAGAGAACCCTGTTTAGCGTCAATGTATTCTTGTTTAGAGACCGCTGGATCTTTCAGAGGAAACATCACATAGTCCACGTCAGAATACAATTGTTGCTTGTATTGTTCGATCTGGGACCTGGCAACCTGACTGGTGTATACAGTTGCTAAGCTCGGCGGTGGAGGTGGTGGTTGTCTGGTATGCGTTGTCGGTGGCGGAGGTGGTGGTGCAAGATATGGCAATAATACTGGACCACCTCTGGACGCGTGAACATCCAAATAATTATTTGGACCCACCACAAGAGCTGCAACTGGTGCATGGACAGGAGTCGGTTTCATTTTATCACCAGGATACGTCGGTGGTTGTATTCTAGGTGGTGGTTTTGGAGCTGTAATTGGTGGTCCTTCATTAGCGATACCAGTGAAGTTTGTTGACATTGCCGGGACTATGTTGTTTTTTATAGGAGAGAGATTAGAATGTGACTTGCTGGGTACAGTCCTTGGGATGACATCTTCGATTGCGTTGTTAGGATATAGGGTAGATATAGCCTCCTGTCGATCAGTAGGAATTTCAGGATAAGGAGGTGGCGGAGGTGGCTCTCTAGGAGTAACAGCATCATTTCTTGGTGGAGTAGGCGGTGGAATTTGTATTCTCTCTCTGGGGGAAGTGTAAGGAGGTGGTGGAGGTGGCTCTGCCCTTCTAGGTGGCAATGGCACAAAGTCACCCCTGACTGCATTGTAAGGCGGTGGAGGTGGCGGTTCACGATCCACGTTAGCATTACTCCTAGAGGACTTGATGGTAGTGTAATTGATATTGGACGGATAAGGCGGTGGAGGTGGCAGTTGTCTGTCTGAGTCTGTTCTTGGCGGTGGTAATGGAGGCGGCATAGTCACATAATCACAATCAGAATCCATTGAGTTGCTTATGGTCTTTCTTGGCGGATAACGTCCCACGATGAGATCAGATAATTCATCCGCCGACAGTAATGGCCCCACATCAGAAGGGTCACTTCCGTCACCTCTGAAACTTCCTGCACTAAGGATACTATTACTTCTGGATCTGGTGTCATCTAATGGTGGATCCAGAGATACTTCAGATATACCAGAAGCCAGGTTACTGACATCCTCATCGCCCCTGCACACACTGTATATAGGCTCCTGATCCTCCGTATTCACATCCTCCGTATAAACACCACTTGTCTCGGATCTCAGTCCGCTGTGAATAGTATAAAAACCAGAAGTAACTGAAGCTTCGTCAGTGGTAGATTGTACAGAACTCAAAGCGCAAACGTCACTTGCTGTCGAAGATTCGTTAGCGTCACCCGTAGGAGAATACAAATCAGTTATTCTTTCATCCTGCATTTCGCTGCTTCGCACGGTATAAACTCCGCTAGTCTCACTAGCAATGTCCGTACCTAACGAAAAATGATAAAGATAAATAAAAAACATCTGATCTAATAAAAACGAGACGTTTGCATACATAATGGCTTCTAAACCTCGACGATACTAACCAGCGTATTTTCCAGCCTTTTTACACCTGTCGTATATCGCTCCCGGGAAGCATGCAGCTTCCGACGAAACGGCTGAGTTCTGAGCAGTATGAGAATAGCCAAGTTCCAGACTGGAAGAGGCGGATGGTCGACGCATTGGAGGCGGTCCGCTCGCAGGTGCACTCACTACCACAACCGTGCTGCAGCTGCTGCTGCACTGAGATCCCTCGGCGGCAGTTGCAGCATTCAGGGTCATACGTAATGCAGAAGAAGGAGCAGTTTCGGCACCATCAACTTCTAGGGACCAGCAAAAATTCATAATCAAATATTATAACCATAGGGTAACATATAGATACGCAATCGATCGTTAAAAGAAATATATCGTCAACACTCACCGTCGACAGTGGAAACAGGTGATGAAGTCCTGGATCGATCATCTGCCTCAACTCCATTAACAATAGTCTGTGCCTGAGCGTGATTCGGTATCTCAGTAAGTCTGGGTAGACATTCTGTAGATGCAGGCGCCGTGTCGGGTTCATCCTCACTGTGAACGCGGTCACTAACGATTCCAGATGTAGTATTCGAGGAAGTGCTGGATATCACTGATATCCGTTGATCGCCACGAGCGCCCCGCGCAGCCAAGCTGAGCTTGCACCGTGCTGGATACATATAGCAATCACGTAGAACCTTGCGCTCTGCAAGAATAATGGACGGTCAATGATACCAGCTCGTAGTTGATTGAGAATGGATCTATGTGAACGATCAAAATCGAACTCGTAGCCCGTGAAGGACTCACCTTCCTCTTCCCGACGTCTCGCCTCGTTGACTCTTGGTGCTATAGCCATGGAGAACTGATGAGTGTCCCGGCAGAGACCGAGCAACAGTTTACTTTTGTCGTCACATCCGCTGTACAGGGTGAGCTTGTCTGGATGATCGACGGCGCGAATTTCAAACTTTTTACGCTGTCGTACAGAAGATTCAAATTCATGTGATTATACAATGCGAAAATAATATCATATATAATATATATATATATATATTAAATATTTAACGTAGTATACAATATTGCCAAGACACTTACGTCGAAGCATAGCTTGCCGATGTTGTTCCAGGCGAAGATCCGGGGTGTTCCCTCCTCGGAGTAGATTCGTACACCACGAGCGCAGATTGCGAGGAGGATACGTCCTGGTCCAGCTTCGCTCTTGCTTCGACGAAGCCGATAGAGGTGGGCGTTGAGCGGCGCCTCCAGCAGCACCGCCTCCCGGATATACTGCAATTCAGCCTCCTCCCTGGAGAGGCCGCGATTGTCCCGATGTTGAGCCGCCAGGACGCCGAGGACGTTCGGCTCGAGACACATCTTTAAATACAGATACAATTACCTTGACGGACACCTGTTCAGGTTCCCCGCGAAAAATCAACTAAATGAATATTTAAACTCACGTGGGGTGGAAGATAGTCGGTGGGTTTGCAGTAACCGACGGATCCGGCATGGGGTCTGTGACGTTCTTCGGAGTAGTCCCCGAGGTCGGCCTGGAGGGCAAGTCCCGCCAACCCGAGTAGAGATGCAATAATCGCGGGTGCATGCAGGGGATGATGGGGGTGCAGACTTTCCACCCCGCCGCCATGTCGGACGACATTATCACGCAACTGCAGGTAATAGTGGTGGCGCGTTGTCTCATCGCTAGAAAAAAAAAACATCAAGATATTGGAAAAATAAACGGACCAAGATAATAAAACAAATTAATATACGTGTTTAACAAAGAAAAAAATTTTAGCATATAGTTATACAGATTTGTGAGACGAATTAAAGGAATGGCAAGGATACCAAAGTAACTCCTGATTAATTTATTTACGTATTAGACACATATAAGTCGATCCTACATTGACGTAATCCTCTAGAGTTCGAGTTCATGTTCAAGGTCACATTAACACCTAGCATTGGCACTTAGCACTGGCATTGCGGAACGTATCATTATTTTAATAACTGGACTGTCGATCACGAATTTTGAGGAGCTAAAGTGACGTTTCGCGTCCCTATCTTTTCAACTCAGTACACAGACGAGCGATACCGCCTTTCCTATTAATAATATTGCAGCATTTTTTTTCAACCAGTCATCTTCGAAGCTAGTTTTGCCTGTGACTATACATACATTGGCATTCAATATCGACACGTACACGAGACAAAAAGTATCAATGGTTATGAAAACAATAACACGTCACGACGCATGTCGTAACTCTGATGCTCCCGTAAAGTCATATAAAGTCATATACATTAATGATACGAGTAAAAAAAATTGATAAACGAAGTGTTTTCAGCTTTGTTAAATTTTACACTGATAAATGTACCTTTATAAAAAAAAAAACAGTCAAACTGCATTTGACTAAATTTTTTTTCTTCCCATTTGGCTTGCATTCTTCATTGCCGTTACAAACAAATTTAACGTTTCTCACTGTAATGAAAATTCTGTACGCCGCAGACCTAACGCGAAAACTCGAGGATAACATACGAAAAAATATCATACCGCATACCAAAGATAATCTACTACTTTCAATTGACAGGGGCGCGCGAGTCCGGCGTACAAATCTAATTAACGAAGAGTCAAAAGACAGAGGTGCAATGAAAATAGTTGAAACGTGAATTTAACAATATTATGCAAAAGGTATACGCTTCACGATTATACCAAAGTAGTCGTACGGAGCTTCGTATAATTCGTTCAGAAGAATTCAAAGGAAACAAAAGAAGACTAAATGGGGGAATAAAATGAGGGGAAAAATTAACGTCCCCGTACACCTCGAGGCTAGAGGAATGAGTAATTTGTTTGTCCGGCTATAAAACTCAAGCTTGGCTACTAGAAGCGGAATGCGATTCGGTTAATATGAATCGCCCGATATGTATCGCTCTCCTCGGGCTCCTCACTGCGTTGAAAAAAAAATTGGTAAGAGAATCAGACTCGGTCGGACACATCGGTGTGTGTATATGTATATATATATCTATCTATATACGCAACACAGAGGATAAATATAACCTTTCTACACACATAGATGCTACAGCGAAATATACAGGAGGTGCAAGTAAAGATGCGCCAAGGCAATTCAGTCAGGGCTTCGGAATCGAATGCAATGGGCGAATCACTATAATTAACGCTCCGAATATTTTCGCTTAACGCAGACAGTCTATTAATCACGCGCCACGTAATAATTTATAATTACAAGGTACGGGACACGGGCGCCTGGCTACTGGACAGGAGTCGGAAGGTTTTCGTTGCGGAGCGACGTGCCTGCGCCCTTTGGCAAACTTCGATCCCATCGTCAGCCACTAGTTTGTTGCGTCTGCGATCGTAAGGCCGCATTTTCAAAGGTAGAAGGGTCTTTTCGCAGTCTTATAAATCGATCCCCACTGTAGCCAGCCCAAGATATTCTAAGTAACTATTAAATTACGCCACGTAATTTCTACATATCTGTGCGATACTGCTAGGATACCTTTTTGAGATTAAAAAAAAAATAAATGAAACTTACCTGAGTAGCAATGGCGTATCCACGTAATATCGTATACGAAAATAAAGTACAAATGCCGGTCGTCCACTGCTGTCCAAGCCCTGCAAATACGAATGATATATACATATATATGTGTGCGTGGATTGATAGTAACGCACGAGGGATGAATTCACAAACGAGGACTCGTGTAATGATCATAGGCAAAGTCATGCGGGAGTAGAATGCTACGATCGCCGCGGAGTGTCTTTATAGCGTTACTATCATCTGATTCAAAGGTTTATGATACTCAATTACGATCCTGAAATATCCGATGGAAAATATTCGAAGGCACGCGTGGCCAAGTGGGACGTTCCATGATGGCACCGAGCGAGAACGGACACTCGAGCTGAATGGTAATTGGCTCTATCTAATCCGTAAATGCTTCCTAGACGACGTGAATCGTTTAGCCCTCGACAGGGCGACTACGAAGACACCGTATTTCTCAAGCGAGCAATTTACATTCATTTTCGTAATATTCTCATGGTTTAAGATTAGAGGATGATGGTGGTAAGAGGGGTCTCGCGTCCCTTCCACTTAAGAATGAGAATAGGCCTGGCATTCCAGAATTCATGGGACCCTGAAATTTCGAGAATCATCACCACCGAGATGGATTTCTCGTGTTTCTTTCGTGGGATACGTAATAAGGCCGTTTGCAGGAACTTACGGGCTCACGGTGAAACGCACATACGAACGGATTACAGCTGTAATTTTATCGACGTATAAATTCGTTGGAAATGCCCGCGTGGAAAAAGCCTTTCGAATTTAATTGGCGAGTATTTCGTTTGGTCTCGATGGCACTCCCATTGAATGCCTACCAACCTTCCGGTATACCTTGACGTACCTCTGGCTATACTTACAGGGCTATCTCGATTTTCGGCATAAAACTTAATGGCAACTTTTACGACAATACCAAATGGCGTACGCAGTGTACGAGTCTGATAATAAATGCACTCGAAACGGGCTATTAAGAAACGTACCCAGGTGGGAATAAAAAGATACGAATTTATCGGGAGTGAACTAACCTTCGAAATTTAGATGACCGTTGTCATCGTCACTGACAAACCTCGCACTTATCTACTGCTGTCTAACGGCTACTGTTATTCGTCTAGCCTGCGAGCTAACGCGCATGCGCGTCACTGGCCTCGCTGCAAGACTGTCACGTGTTCTCGCGCATGCGCTCTCCGTAACTTTGGTTGCGCGCGTATTTCGTATGAGAAAACTTGCAGTGCACACATATTCGTTTCCATTCTGATTTCGATTGGATAGATTAAACATGCTTAGCAAACATACTACGAGGCGTAACATGGGTGGAATCTGGTTCTGACAGCCACAATCCGGACAACGATTCAAATACCAAACTGACGCAAACTAATTTCACTTTAATTAGCCGAAATAACATAGGGAGCATCGTCCAACTACGGGCAACAAGCACGCATGCCTTCAGGCCTTCGCGAGGGAAATACCCAGCCTTCGAGGACTTCGCTCCCGATTTTAAATCTTTAAACGAACGTGAATTTGATCGTGAAACATTTCATCATTCTACGGACTCGTATGACTATGCCGTGTATGTCACGTATCTATGTCATCCGGTTAAAAGGGATTCGAAGGCATTAGGTAATCGAACTCGTGTTCTTGATTTGTGCGATTATCCTGTTTCCACGTAATTTCTTTTCCGCACCGTGCATACATAACGATCGATCCATACGGAGCACGATGCTCCTTTCTGTTAAAGTAAAAGGATCTGATTCTTAGATTTTTTTCCTTTTCTTTTCTCGTATCCTGCCACGAGTATGGAGAAACGTGGGCGAATCTTCCTAAGAACCGTGCTAACGCCTCCGCAACAGTTTCGGCCCACGCGCGACCAAGTGCGGTAGCCGCCACGCGTTTTCAAGTATTACGATCCTGGATATACCTGGCTATAGCCACGAGGTGAAATTCTTCAGCTAGGAAAATCAAGATCTTTCAGCTGGATATGAATGTTGGGACGTAGCAGCATAAGAGGCTAAGGTATAGCAACGAAGAAAGGAATTTATTATTCTTCGTAGTACACCTAATCAATACAGTCGGTCTGCCTGGATGTAAAGGCCAACGTCAAACTTGTCGTACTCGGGACATGAATCGTCCTGTGGGGTCTTTCATATGAGGTATACGTGTAAGGTACAAGAGGCATTTGGAGGTACATGCTCCACAGGAGAAGAGGACAGCAAACAAGAATATTTGAGAGGTCAGGGAAGTCGACCTCAGGATTGAGACGACGTCTCTTCTGTATATACAGAGATAACCTATATGTGTGTGAGCAGTGCCGTAGTAGAAACGTTCAGAACGTATCCGTATCGAGATCTGGCGATCTCGTAGACTTGAGATTTCATTATTACAAATTAGAGGTCTCTACGAGGAGCAATGTTTCCAAGCGGATAGTCGATACATCATCCGGGCGAAAGTAACCAGTCCAGGCCCTCCCCCCCCCCCCCCCCCCCCC